CTCCGTTTAAGCAGAATCGAGTTTTTAAAGCAGAATTTGTGTTCCAGAAGGTCCTTTGACTGGAGGGACACGTGTCTATAAACAGCTGATTTTGTCATGGACAGCTAGGTCAGCAGGTTACTGCAGTACAAAGCTAGGCCACTCCGTTCTTGGTTCTAAGCTGGCATCCTAAGAACACGACCACTGCCAGCTCCAGAAGCATCACTGCCCATTCTTGGAAAGTTTTAAAAATCTTAATTAAAATAATAAGGGTCCTTAAAAATCCTACTACTGTCCCCTTAGGAGCGTGGGGTCGAATAAGTAAGGTCAGCAGTTTGAAGCCACCAGCCATTCCTGCAGGGGAATAAGACAGCTTTCTACTCCCATAAAGAGTTACGGTTTAGGAAACCCACAGGGGCAGTTCTACCCTGCCCTGTAGGGTCGCTGTGAGTTGGAATTGATTTGATGGCAGTGAGGTTTTTTTTGTTTTGTTTTTTAAGTTACTGTGCCCTTTGGGGCAGTAGTGAAGTGGATCGGAGAGAGGAAAGTGGGCTCAAGGGGTCAAGAAAATTACTTACCTTGTGCCGTGATTGCATTGGACGCCCTGATGTTGGGAACAAACAGCAGTAGACTTAGCAATGAACAAAAGACAAAGGGCCTTCGCTTGTTAAGTTTGCATTCTAACAGCATGAGAGCTGCCTTGTGGGGCTCCCAGGAAGAGGGGCTTTGAGGGCACTTTGCATCCCCACTGGGATGTCTCAGACTTCTTGAACTCAACTGTTCCCGAGAGACCCAGCTCCCCCCTAGTACCTGGCAAAGCAAACACTGAGGAAATATGCAGAACATTCCTCTGGGCCATGACTGGCACTGTTCTTCATCCGCTGGTACAAGGTGACTCCCCTACTTTCTTCAACCCCACATCTACTTCCTTTCCATATCTTGTCAGCTTACTTTCTAAATGTATCTCTAGACTCTCTCTACGTCACATCGTTTCTATCATCTCTCTGACCTGTGCTGCCATCATCCCTTCCGTGGACATTGGTCACCCAAATTGTCACTCCATAGACCAGCCGGAGTGATCTTTCTGAAACTCAAATCTGAGTGTATCTCAAACAGGTACAGATACCCATGTGCACACAGAACATCCCTACAGAAACCCCTGTAACAGCTTCCCATTGCTTCCAGAATAAAAACCAAAGTCCTTCACCTGACCTTCGAGGCTTGACATGGTCCAGCCCTCCACTCACTCTGAGTTCCAACCACGCTGATCTTCCTTTAGCCTTTGGGTTTTCTCCGCTGTGCTGTCAAGCACAGGCATTCACGTGATGCCGTTTCTTAGCCCTCGAATGTTCCTTCCATCCATTCTTTATGCCCATTCATCGGGTAGCTGGGAAGTGACACTGAAGTGTCAACCCTTATATCTGGATCTAGGAGCCTGCCTGGGAATACGGGTTTTCTTGTGTTATGTAATGATGTCACGCCAGAGTAGGATGAGTCCTAAGCTCAATCCTTCTGCATGGTGTCTTACAACCCTCAGGAAGACAGTGGCACTCCCAACAGGGAAGGACTCTTCCCCAGAGCTGGTGCTCTGATTGGGACTTGAAGCTTCCAGCATGTTCGAAAACTACATGTGTGTGTGTGTGTGTGTGAGTGAGAGAGAGAGAGAGAGAGAGCGCGCGAGTGAGCGAGCGCACACTAGCACATTAGGAAACTAAGACATTGGGTTAGATCATGCTTGTTCTTCAGCTCTCAGCTCGGTCATCACTTTCTTAGAAAAGCCGTGCAGCCGTCCTGGTTGGATCAAATGCCCCTATGTCCATTTTTACTCAGCCTTGTGCCTGGCACTTTGTAGGTTCAGTAAATATTGTTGAATCATTGTTCACTGAGTTCCAGGCAGTTAGGCACTCCCATCACCCTTCGGCCCTTGTGAGACTCTTGGAGTTGGGTAGAAGGCGGGGACTGAGATGGCCATAAATAGATTTATGAGTTTGAATCGTGTTCTTAGGGTGGAAAATAGCTAGACTGCATGACAGATCTTCTCTCAGTTGTATTCCAGAGGGACACTGCTCAGTGAGGACATGCTGGGTTCTAACATGTATATGGGAACTGTGTTTTTCAGGCATCCATCAGGTCCCCAGAATAGACGGGATGTCGAAAAACAGAAATTCTGCAGGAAAAAGCAGAGAGAGTGTGACAGTTAAAGATAATTTTGAATTAGAGATGCTTCGTGCACAATACAAAGAACTGAAAGAAAAGGTAAGTGCTTTTGACCTATCGTAGCTACGTCAATCACTTATTCATGCATTATACCACACAGTAACATATGCAACGGCTGTAAAACAAGGGCCCACAGTCATCAACTGGAAGATGATATGAGGGAAAGCTAGGTAAAGAAGGCAATGACATTTAGACTGAAATAAACTAAGTCTTTAGCTCGTATCTGCCAAGGTAAGAAAGTAACACTGTGCACCAGTTTCAAAGAGAGATACAAGCTTTCTGTTCTCTCAGTTAGACCTTTACACACAGAGCACATCATCATCATGATGGCTGCCATTTGCAAGAACCCAGCCAGCCTTCCTAGTGTGATTTTAGATCCCTAAAGAACCCAGAAACAATTG